GTCTCTCAGGCGTGTCCAGAGCATGAGCCAAGTACCTCTACTATGTTCTCTCACACACACACGCACGCACGCACACGCACGCGCACACACGCGCACACGCACACACGTGCGCGCACACGCACACACACATACATGCACACACACATACATGCACAACTGCCCTCTCACTCCCTCTCCTAACACAATTATTCACTCAAACACACAGCAACGCACATGTTTCGTCACACTTAACTTTTACCCTGCATTTACAAAGTTCATAAAAAGTTTTACAGGAAATTCACACCACTCGATCCAGTGCACTCTAATTTCTCTTGCTTTTTTCCCAACTAATCTACTTTCACATATGCTGGAAAGAACTGAGACAGTTCTATTTGGAGTATCTATGGGATATTTTCTGTCCTGTGCTCATGTAAACATGACAGTTTTTACACGGAGAAGAGCTTGTTCTTTGACACTGATCCATGTTTGCACTCATATATGTGATGTGTAAATGCATGAATGTAACGCTTACCTTGAAGATATTCATGCTAAAAACACTCATGTACACTCTTGCAGGTTCACATTATAAACACACAGAAACCCAGCAGACATCCTCGCACATGGAATAAAGGTATGACTGATGAGGGCAGCGGATTTAATACTGTCAAAGGGCAGTCCGTGTTCTTCAGCAGAGCACACACGGTAACTTTGCAATTAAACAGTAAATGGATCAATGTTTGTATATGTTTGTGTGTGCATGTGTGTGTCTGGGGGGCCTCAGGGGCCCGTCCTAATGAGCTATCTGTGTGCATTTCTAACAAGAGCTCGGTGCAGCGCCCACGGCACTGTCATCCTGGGCCATGGCTGACCTTGCTCGGCTGCTAGGCTGTGTCGTTTGCTATATTTATGGTACCACCACCACCTTTCTCTCTCTCTCTGTGTGCGTGTGTGTGTGTGTGTGTGTGTGTGTGTGTGTGTGTGTGTGTGTGTGTGTATTCACTAGTGTGTGCATTCCAGGAGGGCGGGAGAGCAGGGGGGCTCACTCAGGAAGCAAATACTGTGTATATCAGCATAATGAATCAAGTGGCAGAGAGTGAGCGAGAAAAGAAAAGGGTAGAGAGAGAGAGAGAGAGAGAGAGAGCAAAAAAAGGGAGGGTGGAAGAGAGGAAGGGATGGAGAAAGCCATTTTCCCTCTGCTGGTTCCTCCCCTCCTGGCAACCAACTCCTGTGGTGTCTATTCCCTCTATTCTGCGTTTGCTTGTTCCCTTTTTTTTTTTTCTCTCATTTTGCCCTTTCCCCACTTTCATTTCTTTGCTTGACCCTCCTCCAGCACAGAACCATGTACCATGCATACACGCATTTCCTGTTGAACTGGACACAACACTCATCAGGTTATATGACACTTAACGAGTGTTTACCGCTGTCTCTGGTCTGGACATATGGTATTAACCCTGCCAATGACAATGGAAGCTTAGAGCATTTTACACTGTGTACACACAGTAAAACGTGAGCTGGTAGCATGCATCAATTCATATCGAGGCTCAGTGCATGCATGCATGCAGCTATACGAGTTTGGCACCAACCAAGGCAGCTGAATCACCGATGGAATAATAATAATGCATGTGCATGGAATCAACTGGACCCCTTGTTCGTTTCTGGGCAGGGGAGAGAGGCTGGTGCGCACACACACACACAAACACACAAATGCACACACACACACACACACACACAGACACACACACACACACACACACACACACACACACACACACAGTTAGATACATACACAGCCTCAATATGCAAAGCTCCCCTGTGCTGGGTTAAGGGAGAGGGGCGTGCTGCTGTGAATACTCATCTGAGCCTGGCAGAGGGAGCTGTGTGTATCCCCCCATAACCTCAGGGCGAGGGGCAGAGGAGAGCGCTCCATTTGCGTGGGACACACATACACAAGTGGAAACACACACACACAGGCCCAAACAGAAAAGTCAGACACATACATGCTCATACGCCAACTCATACACATAATATAAAACCCAGGCATACACACATTCACACATGGAGGCGATAAGCGAAAGGAGCACTATGGGGAGGGGGCGCCGTGACCAAAAGTAAAGTTTTAATTCGGTCCTCGGGGACACTGCTTACTCATCCAACTCCCCCAAGGACCGACTTCCTCTGAAATCTATTCAAATCACATCTCTCCTCCGCCTTTTATTGCATTTCTCATATCCCCATCACAAAGTGACAAATCACCACACACTTCACAGAACCAACATCACTTTCCCTCCATTTTGGGGGGCAGATGGATTTGGGGGATTTTTACTTTTAAAGTGATTAGAGAAACTCACTTCCAACTGGGTTTCCTATTATTTCCTATGAGCATTACTGTACATGAGTTGTCATGTTCAGAGTCCAAGGACACTTTTACCTGTCAAAAACATGCAACAGAAATTGTATTCTCAGTTATTTTCAAGAGAAAAATTGTATTTATTTGGCAAATCTGAAACTAAACCTCCCTCAGTAGTACACACACACAAAGATGTACACCAAATACAGCATTTAAGGCCCACCACTACTCTCTAACGTGCAAACACATAAGTGTAGGAACACATTCTGTGACTCAAGTCCCACACTTCCAGCCAGTGTTCTCCGCTCCATTCTCAATATAGCAGGTGATGAGAGCGTCGAAGTCTAATTAGTTTATGCAGACGTATGAAGCTGGTGGGACAGGCAGCATTGTTATTATTTCCCTGGCAGCCCACTGCAGACACACACACACGCACACACAGAACAACAGTGACACTTACAACGTCGCCTGCCGCATCCCCAACCATGCTCATCCAAGGCGGTTGAGGGGGGGTGAAATGGTGGGGCTGGTGAGGCTGGATGAGAAAGGGGGTGTCAGGATGGGGAGAGCCGGTGTGCGAGCGTGAGGAGAGGGAGAGAAGCGGCACTTGATATATTCGTAATGTTCCTTAATATTTTCATTTTGATGTAATTTGTGGCCCCGGTTTTTTAAATATCCGCTCTGTAATAATGTTTAATTTCAAGGGTCAGTCTGCCAAGGAGTATATTAAAGCTGATAAAACTCATTTTCCACAGGCCCAATATCGCGCTCAGATCAGGTTAGGAGGCCAGCCTCCCTGAATATTTCATCTTTTATCATGCCGATAATGGGAAGATGACAGAGGCGCATTATTACAATGAGAGAATTGCTCATTTTCCTGACGGGGAGGGCTGCCTGGCTGCTTGGCTGCCTTCTCTCCCGACCGCCTGCATCAATGACTGGTTGGGACTGCTGAGAGCCAAGGGCTCCACAGAGTGTTTGTCGCAATAAAGGCAATTCTTCCCTGGGAGAGGAGAGGTGACGAGTGGAGAGGAGCAGCGGAGGCACACAGAGGGGATGGAGGTAGAGAGAATGAGAGAGCGGTAGGGAAGAAAATGAGAGAGAAGAGAACGAGAAAAGCAACTTTCTTCAACCACCTCACTTATTTGATTGCGATGAATAATAAATGTGGGTTTGGAGTTGGTGTGTGCGTGAACTGGGTGGGGGTTAAGCAAAAGAGCAATAGCAGTGTGTGAGTGTGTGCGTGCTGGTGGTGATGTGGCAGAGTAGGGGGCTGGGTGAATCTAACAGATTTGAAGAAGGTCCCCATTCCGAATTAACCCATTTAATTGAGCCATTAGGAAAGAACAAAGCTGGGGCTATGGGGTGAGACGAGGGGACAGAGTGGGGGGGCTGCAGCCCATCATCCTCCTTGGGAATGGAACCTGCCCCACACGCAAATGACTAACTGGACCTTCTCTGGCGCCAGAGCAGCTTAATAAATGGACCCAATCAAGGCTTTTCTGGGGACCACCTGTGTCCCGTACAGGTCAGAACCATTAGACCCACATTAGAGGGCTGTGATAGACGCAGACGCCGCTCCATCCACCCCAATAATGAGGATAATAAGAGAACCATAATGGCATATTTATGGGCTGGCTAAGAAAAGAAGACACTGGCTGCAGTGTTTTGGGGTATTCAGAATGGGAGCGGTGGAGAGCAGAGAACTCTGATTCACAGACAGGTGACTTGTGTGAGAGTGTATATGGCTTTAGGCAATGCACAAGATCGTGGCCTGCAATTTCAATTACCGACATGATTACACAATTTAATCCCTCACATATAAAGCCTGTAATAAAAGAAGCAGCAAACGAGTACACCAGAGTGATCAGAATAAAATGACTCACAAGAGACCTAGTTATGATACATTTCCATTTCCAGTGGCTGCGCTGTGTGAAAGATCTGTCACACACCAGGTGGGCCTATCTTGGCATTTAATATGTTAATCTGTAATCTTCCTCTTCATTCAACTATTACTACAGGCACCGCATTGATGGAATTTTCTCCTTTTCAGTCTCTCTCTTCAGCACTCTAATCTTGACAGTTCTCACTGCGCCACAGGCATTGAAAAATGAATCCTGGGAACTAAGGATGGGAATTTTTAACTGACTAGTCATTTACACATTCTGGCTGACGTCAAAAATACTTGGCGTTTAAAGTCAACTTTATGTGGCCTTAAAATAATGTGTGAATATTATACAGGTATATTTGTTGAATCTCAAATGTTTATGGCAATTTTGTGGCATCATATCCCCTGCACATGCGTCAGTGGGTCCTTTTATACATCAGATGTCTAGACAAGCTGAACAAAAGTAAGTGACATATTGGCTAGAAGCTCCTTCAACACTTATTTACCATTGAACTCTTCAGTGTTTGTTTTGTAAAGAAGGAGACTTGTGAATAAATCTGCTCCCAATACAGAACTTTGTAAATGTCTGGCTCACGTCCAAACAATTAAACTTGAAAAAATCCCGACCAGAAAATGCAGACTGCCATGAAAAGCAATGGTGATGAAGACAACATCTCTCATGATCCAGTGCTTAACATCAGAAAACTCTTTCTTTTGTTATTATTTTGATTGAGAGGCCCTCAGCTGTAGCAAAGTTACAAACTGTGAGTTAACGAAAACACTTACAATTACTGATCTGTGTGTGGTGGAAGGAGGAAGTCCATCCATACCGGAAACTTCAGCAGTTGTTCTGGTGTCATCTGTGCAACAAGTTTTTTCCCCATCTGTGTAGAAACAGTAACACAGTGTATAATAAAGTTTAAATGCAGTTTAGTTTCACCTGCTCAAAGCCTTTACACTCTATACCTATATTTCTTTTTCACTTCCGTTCCATATTAATCGAGATATAAAATGAAGATAATATTTGACAAAGCTAGTTTGGTTCCTGTCCTGCTCGACCAGGTGAGAATATCCTACCACCATTAATGAACGTTCACAAAAGCACAAAATCCTTCACATTATTCAGGAGAGAAGTAGAGCAGCCAGGTGCAGCAGACAGAGGCAGGAAGTGACGTATTAACTCTGCAGCGTAGATCGCCTGATCATGTTTACAGTTCCATCGTTGGCTCTTATGACCACAAACTCTCTTGACATCTTCGTCTGAGTCTTCTACGTGTCTCACCATTTTTTCACCAGGAGATATTTGTTTTGATCGTTCTTTTTCATTTTTGCTTCTGTCGTGTTTTAAAAGCGCCATCGAACCCCCCCACTCAACACCCCTGCTGTGTTCACATATCGAATTCTCCTGGAGTTCTACGAACATTATACTACGAGGTCAGGTGGATAAAGTTCACAGAAACTACAGAGCGCCTCACTCAGACATTTGCATTCACATATGCACCTCCTCCGGAGAAAATACGGAGGATCTGCGGAGACCAGTGTATGTCGGAAAGAAGCTACAGATGAGGAAGTGTTGGTTAAATGAATGGTTACCCGATGCTACAAGGCACCATGTTTAATGGAGGCCATGAGGGTAAGTACCAAGAATTGTCAATGACAATTTGGGCAAAATAATGTAATTTTGAATCAGCTTGCAAGTGATGTAAAAACCAGTGTGTCGGCCACTGTGAAAATCCTCCAAAATAAAAGATGACCCATCGCAGGAATAACCCACCCATCCCCAGCCACCCTCCAAAAAAGGTGCCAGACACTTTGGGTGCATCCCCATGGTGAGGAAAAGGAAGTGATGAGTACCCCAAAGGGCAACGGAGGTCACAACTGACCAGCGTGACTGCCAACAACCCCAGGAAAGGGCAAGATGGAGTCAATGTGTCTGGACCCCCACCCTAATCAAAAAAAAAAAAAAAAGAATCTGTCACCGTGTCAGGAGGGGTGAGAGGGAGGTGGCGGGCTGGGTCAGGATGGGGGTTAGGGGGAGTGGGTGATGGTGGGTACCAGACTGGGGCACCTCGGGGGACTTTTGGGGAGGAAGAGCCATGCACCATGTCTCCTGCTACCAACCGATGTTCCCTCATTTGATTGTAAATCCATGAATAATGCATGGCGGATGGGACTGAAGGAGGGGGAAGGATGGGGGGGTGAGTGGGGAGGGGACCTCAACCTTAAAGGGGCCCTGCCACAGTGGGAGTCATTACCGATGAACAACCACACTGATGAGCCACAGAGAGAGAGAGAGAGGGATGGGAGAAAGAGAGAGAGAGATGGGAAATAAATGGAGGAGAAAAACAAACAAGATGTAAAAAAAGAAAGGAGGATGCCCAAGAAACCAGGCCTCTCAAACATTTCAAGCATGCCGCTTATTGAGCTGAACTGTTTTCATCACTCTGTAGATGTTTTGTTGTTGTTTTCATCTGTTCATAAATCTACAAGAAATTCAACTCAGGAAAATACCCAACATATTTTTCCTGTTTGTTTGTACTTGCTGCAGAGCTTCTCTTTTAATAACTTTTATCTGTAGCAGGCCTGTGGTGAGCAGAAGGAGCAACTGTACTGTAAAAACTCAATAATTAAATTAAGCCAATACTCTGAGGAAAAGCACAAACGAAATAACAGAACTAGAAATGTGAATTACATATATCAATAGAGAATATGATCAATCTGATCTAGAATGAATTAAACTGCAACATTATCTTACATCCCCAAGACATTACTTTTCACACAAGTGGAGTAACTGCTCCCTGTTTAATTTGAATGACTCAGAGCTTGTGATATGAGCTTGGTGTTTTCCACTTGTAAATTACAACAAGGTAAAACAAATGTAATTCTTCATAACAAACTTAAGATTTACAGTATTTTTACAGTATAACTGATTAAGTTCTCTTTGAGTGTGTACAGTGTTGAGACAGAATTTACTGTGCCGTACTTTAAGGTGTCGCTCAGTTGCTGTAAATGTTGTCTAGCAGTTCATTGGCCTGATACGGAGGCACCATGACTGGAAGATGGATTGCTCCATGCTGGCCTGTGACTTGGCTTAATATCGCCAATATCAATCAATTAAAATATACCATGATTGACTCTGATGCCGATTTTGCAATATGGCCTTGGAACAATCAGGACATTAGTCAATCGATAGGAAATGAATCACAATTTTGAAAAGCGATTTGTCCACCTATTCTCTCAATAATGAAAAATGTCACCTACTGTCTAGTTCCAGGGATAGAATTCACTGCTTTAATAAATTTTATATCATCGTGAATTGAAAATGTGTGGGTTCGGAAGTGTCTAAAAACAGTCTTGACATCAGCTTGGCCCCTCAAATTTTGTGCTGTCCTCCTTTCACCATTTTCTGACATTCTGAATTTGATTCAATAAAAATATAATAATAAAATATTGTAAAGTTAAAACAATTATCATTTTACTTGCATCCACACATACAACAGAACAGTAAGCTCACACCTTGACGATGGCAAAAAGTTCAAAAACAAGAGAGACTGGTACT